TGTGTGTGTGTGTGTGTGTGTGTGTGTGTGTGTGTGTGTGTGTGTGTATTATGTTCTTAGCTTTGAGTTATTTGCTCACTTCTTTTATCAAAGCCAGGTTGGATTCATTAATGACTGATTTTGCTGAATCAGCTTTAAAGTGTACCACATCCACATGTATACTTTTATATTTTATTAGTCTTTATGTCTCTGCATGTACATTTAAAAGGGAATTAGACTGGGGATACACATGTTGAGTGTGAGTGTGGCCACAAACCCAAATCAAGAGCAAATGACCAAGCAGATGCCAGGGCTGAAAAGATTTTACTTTGAAAGATGACCTTTGGCTAAATGAACATTTAGAAATGAGGCTTTCTTATAATGAATACTCAATTAGAAATTTTAATTTTTCAATAATCCATTAAATTAATTGCAAACAACACAATAATGCATGAGGGAATAATTTCGAAAATGTACAGTAAACTTATTATCAAGGGAATTCCACTGGACAGTTTTACTCTAAAGCAGTGGTTCTCAACCTTCCAATGCTGTGACTCTTTAATACAGTCCCTCAAGTTGTGGTGACCCACAACCATAATATTATTTTCTTTGTTACTTCATAACTGTAAGTTTGATGCTGTTATGGACCATAATGTAAATTCCTGTGTTTTCAGTGGTCCTAGGTGACCAACCTCTGGGAAAGAGTTGTTGGGCCCCAAAGGGGTCTCCACCCAGGTTGGGATCACCACTCTATACCTTTATGTTGTTTGAACATTACAGTGTGTATGTTAAATATGTGCACGTATTATGTAATCATTGTTATATTTAATATTAATGTTGTTTGTTAAAACTGGTTTTCAACTTGTGCTGCTGTTGCTTAGGGCGCCCAGGAACGCATCGACAGCCTGCGGAGGTCTGGAGCGATCCACGAAAAGCAGACGGCGGTGTCGGTAGAGAACTTCATTGCTGAGCTGCTGCCTGACAAGTAAGAGGCGTGGGGCTCCCGGGGAGTCAGCGCAGCAGCGGTGTGTGGAGTTCACTCTGGGCCGCCTGGTTCCAAGCCAGAGTGGGAAGTCCGCTCTGATGGTGGACTGCTGAGCTTAGCTGACACTTGTGTCCTCAGTTTTCTTCTGTAACTCGGCAGTGCAGAGCCAGGCCTGCTTTCTAAGACAGCTTACAACCACTTGATACCTAGGACCTAGTGCACGTTGGCTTGGGTGTAATTGAACACTGCAGGTAAGCATATTACCATCTCCTGTGGTGACTCGCCTCAGTGTCAGACACAGGCAAGAAGACTTGATGGTAGTTAACAGGTTAGAGTTACGTAGTATTGCGTGGTTAACTTTAAAAAGCCCTCTAGAAATCACAAGTTAGCTTTGCTTTTGAAGACTTCATAATTTTTTTAATAGATTTTTTTTAAAAATGGAAACCCGTTTTAGATATGCTGTTTTTCTATAATAACCATACTTTGTTGAATTCTACTTGTATTTGTCATGTCATGGTGGTAGTAGAACCTACTTAGTACCTTTTAAGTATTGTCATTCGTCTATGCTAAGTTGTAAAAATTAGTTTGATTTCCACATCCAGAATAATGCCAGTGTAAGTATTCTGAGATGAATAGATCTAGATTTTGGTATTAGTCTTGGATTGGTGTTGAGTGTACAAAAATGTTCTCATAACGTGTTAAGCGCGCTCCTTCGTTGGGAATTGATTGGTGAGGGTAGACAGTCTCTGTAGCTTCTGAATGTAGTGTGAACTTTTTTCTGCTATGTGAAATATAACTACCTTGAGCCACAGCCTGTGTTCCTCAAATCTTGCCTTATACACAGAACTGGGAGATGGAGATCCCTAGTGATCAAAAGTAATCAGCTTAGATTCCTCCCTCTCCATCCACAGCTGTGATCCTGTTGAAGGACTTTCTGAAGGAGAGGAAAACCTGAAAGTCCCCATAGCAAGCAGATCCAGGGACTGAAACATTGGGTGTTGGGCGGGTGGCGGTGATTGCAGGTTTACAGAGGAGGGGTTGAGAAAACAGGTTCCAGGTTGCAGCATCTGCTGGAGCTAGTGTTCTCAAGAGCAGAGGTTGACTGGAGTTCTGATGAGTGTTCACCAGTGTGATAGAGACACTGCTCGTGCCTGGGAGGCAGCTCTTCAGAATGCAAAGGTTCACGCCTCTGGCTGAGTCAGTGCATACTCAGTGCATACTCTGATGCACTCTGAGCCCAGAGCAAGCAAAATGAGGCAAACCAAGGTTTAGCTGAGCGAGGCTACATTTCCTTAACCCAGAAACATTGTCAAAATAAAATATGAAAATATGATTAGTAGTCAAGTAGAATAAATATTATTTGGTGTTTGTAAGTTGAAGCATTTCTTTAAGATATGAATGCTGAGACATTACAAAGTACCATTTTGATATTCCACAGTTGCTTATTATGCTGCTTTCTGTCTTACTGTTTTTTAATATCCGTATATCTCCTTATTCATTTTGTAGTTCTTTGTGCTTATTAAAGGTGCTTGTTCTTTAAGAGATAGAGACATTGACCATATTCCCTTACTGCTTACATTTGTTTCAGTATTGCTTAATGATTCTGGTAGCTAGGATTCCGATGTAACCCCAGTTATCATCCTAAGTGAGTTTATACTGCCTTGTTTTTATAATCTCCAGGTAAGTATCTTTCAGTGGGAATAGCACCTTGAGTTCATGAGTACAATTTTAAAGGCCAACTCCTGGAGGGTAGCTGGGAACACGTGATTCGAAGGGATTATGTTCGTTAGGACCACGCATGTAGTTATTTCCTCTGAGTGAGCTTACTTTCTATGTAGTAGTAATGCTAGAGGGCTGCCTGCTGGTGAGAATTGCTAATACAAATTTCCCCATAGCAAGTGTCACTTAAAAATATTATTCACAAGCAACTCTTTACATGTTCAAATAAGTGTACGTTTTATCAGCTGTGTATTTGATTACCCCATCCTCATAGCTCCCCTCCCCATCTTAGCAAGAAGAAAATTGCCCGTGGTCAGTAACTTCAGCTTTCCCGTTTTGCTTCTCTCTTCCTTTCTCTTCTTGGACTTAGGACACTAGAGTAATTTTATCTTTGTATTTACGGATCGACCATTTGCAAACTAATTAGAAGCCCATTTTTTCTCTCTCTGAGAACTGTGATCCTTTGATCTGAACAGTAAGTAGGACTTCCTTTTCCTTTTCATCTCCTGTTTTATCCAGCAGGTAAACAGTGTGCCGCTCACATTTCTTTTGCAGATGGTTTGACATTGGCTGCTTGGTGGTTGAGGATCCTGTACATGGCATCCGCCTGGAAGCGTTTACCCAAGCCACACCGGTGCCATTGGAGTTTGTGCAGCAGGTTGGTTTCTCTGCCTTTTCTTGAGCTCTGCATTTATTGTGAGGATTATACCCCTGACTCTGTCATCCCCTTTTGCTTGTTGGTATCCTGATTGTGCCATTTTGTTATTTTCCCTTTTTCATGGTTATACTTATGGCCTTGAAATCAGAGGGAGATCGGCTTTTAAATCTGTGTGATGTGTTCCTTCCTCTTTAGTCATGCAGTGTGCCTGTGTATGGATGCAGGTGGGGATATGTGTTTGTGCGTATGGAAACCAGAGGATAGCTCCTGGTGCCCCCTCCTCAGGGGCTGTCCATACCACTTGCTTGCTTTTTTTTTTTTTTTTTTTTTTTTTTTTGAGATAAGTCTGTCATAGACCTGAAACTCACCAGTTATGTGAGGCTGCCTGGCTAGAGAACTTGACATGCTCCTGTCTCCACTTGCCCTGCACTGGGATTTCAGGCAGGTGCTGTTATGTTTGGCTTTTCTTATGTGGGTGCTGGGTCCTTGTCTTACAGGATAGTCATTTTACCAATTTAGCTATATCCACAGCCCCTGTTTATCTCAGCTTTATTCCCACTATTTTGCCTATTTCCCCTCTCTTTGATCTAGTATTCTCTCTTAGTTGTTCATTTTAGTAACATGTCAATATTTAAAAGCTAGATGAAAGCTAGGTAAGCTGGCACACACCTTTTAATCCCAGCACTTAGGAGGCAGATGCAGGGTGGTCTCTATGAACTCAAGGCCAGCCTAGTCTACAGAGCTAGTTCCAGGCTAGTCAGAGTTACAGGGAGACCTTTTCTCAAAAAAAATAAATATAACAAAATTTGGATGAGGGCGGAGAGTTGGCTCAGTAGTTAATACATTGGCTGCCCCCACATGGCAGTGACTCCAGTGTCAGGGCATTCCATGCCCTCTGCAAGCACCCAGCACGCATGCAATGCACCCACATATAGGCAGACAAAATAGCCATGCACATAAAATAAAAAGGAAGTTTAAAGAAGTGGAGTTGATAGGCATTTGTCTTTAGATTTGCTGGCTGAAAAATGGGCCTAATCATGTAGCCACAGGCCATTTCTAAACGGCTTTGTACTTCTATACCTTCTGTAAGTATCAAATGGAACAAAATGGAAAGTGTCTGTCATCGAGATCTCTGTACTCTTAACTGATCTTTTTTAAGGTTATTTGGAGTGTATAGGCATTGGAGACTGTGGGAGGACCATTAGGGTTCTCTGAGGAAATATATGTATACAGCTATGTTTTAGTTTAATGTATGGCCGTAAAGTTGCTAAAAGCAGCCAGTGGTCCTTCCAGATGTTTTGCTGTGTAGAAAGATGCTGGGAGTTTTGGAAACCCTCTGGTCACTCTGACCTGAAGCTGACTCCATGCACGTTGTTACGCCAATAAAACCTTGATTCCACCCAGAGTTACAGGCTTTCTAGGAAGAAGTTTTACAACTGACTGTTGCTCCAGAAGTATTAGTGGAGCCATTTAAAATTGCTGTCTTTAATAATTGAGGAGTCCCTGCCCTGTTTCATATGACTTAGCCTAAGTACTTCCATGAGGCACTACAGGGAAAGCTGCCACCCTGCAATAGATCACTGACTAACATTGTGAGCGAGATCTGCAAACACTGAAGAGCGACTGGTTCTCATGGTGCTCAGAGAGTCAGTGACAGAGCTAGAATGGTGTACAGGCCGTCTGTAAGACCTTACCAGCACTGCTCACGGGAGGTATGGGAATCGTGGGTAACCCCACCCAGCCCAGAACACCTCAGCGCACTGTGTCCTGACCTGAGAGCTGGATAGGAGCTCACAATGCAGCTGTGTAGTTGCTTACGTGAACAGAGTAAAGAAGAAAAGCCTTCAGCAGAGCTAAGACGTTTGCTATAAGTGACAAGCGTGCCGTCACAGCGTCCTAGCTAATGAGGATGAGGAGTGTAAGTGTGTGCTGGAAAGTCAAAGCCCAGCTTCAGTCTATCGAGGAAGCGTCCAGAGGACTGTGAGAGTTGTAATGGCTTCCATCACCACCTTGTAGATGGAGAGGTAGGTCGGGGGTCAGAGATTCACATGCTTTAGAAGATGTGCAGATTGCGGGCGAGTGCTGGGGAGGTGCACAGCAAGCCCTGAGTACAGTTTACTGAAAAGTGTTATTCAAACCGTGGAATTTGTGTTTTGTTGTGTTTAGTTTTTATTGTACGGTTTCAAAATTCCCAGGATAAATAGTTATGTGCGTTGAAATGTCTTTTGTTCCTAGCTGTTTACATTTCTTTGCTTTTTTTTCCCCCCAACATAATATTTTATTGATTATTTGGGAATTTTACACACTGTACTCTGATCACACTGGCTTTCCATTCCTACAAGGTCCACCCCAACCTTATAGCCTCCCCCACAAAAGAAAATGAAAAGGAACAAAAAATACACCAGGTCCAGTTTGTGTTGTCTATATACCCACTGCAGCATGGCCTATGTCCAGTGACTAGCTCTTTAAAGATAACTAATTCCTCCCTGGATCCCCAGAAGCCATCAACTGTAAACAGCTATGCTTCAGCATCCTTAGTACAACTGTAAAGGACTCTTCAGTGGCTCCCTGATCTGTCCTGAAATGTCTTAAGTCTGTGCCTGGTTAGGTTCATAGACTTAGAAATCATTTCTTCAACAAACTGTAGTTGTCAGTATGTGTTGTCATTGTATAACTTATTCTTCTTTCTCTTCCCATAGAGCCCAGCTGCTCTGGGTTTTTCTTGACAGTCAGATCACTCAGAAGTATCACCTTTGACCCACATCACAAATGTCACCTACAAATTTGACTAAAAAAGTAAATATATAGACGCTTCCAAGCCCCTATACTGAACTTCTGAGTCAGGACTGTACTTCAGCAAAGACTCCCAGGAGACTCCTGTGCTGTGTGGGAGGCAGGCCCAGGGTCTTTGAAGACCTGATGTCTCTCTTCGAAGCCCACTGCAATGCTTGTAGCACAGAGTGCTGCACTATTTCTGTCAGTGTTGCTAGGAAGCTATGTGATGTAACTCTTGACTATTTGTCTTGGAATAGGCTGTAGTGGTTCCAATTTAGTTGACTTAAGATAACTAAATTGAGCCTAAGAAATTGTGGGGTTTTTTTTGTTTGTTTTTTGTTTTTGTTTTTGAGGGGAAAAGAAAGCCCCTCTTGTGATTGTGAAGCAGCTAACTGGGGATCTGTGCACAATGTAGATCTATTCTGCAGATGGATTTTCTATGGACTGTGTGTAGCACTCTAAACAAACCCTGGCTATTGAGCACTTGAATCTGTTTGCCTTTCACTCCTGTGTATGAGCAAATGACTTTCATGGAAGCAGGTACAGGCTGGGTCCACATGGTGAGTACCAGCCCTGGTGGGTGCTGGTCTACCCCGGGCACTGTTTGCAACAGCTACTGACTTCTAGGCACATTAGCCAGTTCTGCAGACACGCTCCACACACTAAATAAAGTCTTTCTTAAATGGGGTAGAGACATAATATGCGGTCTCTCTCTGCTTGCAACTTTGTGACTATAAGAATATCATTTTAGACAAACCTATTATTAACATGAGGTGGCCCTGGATGTAGACCTGGAATTTAAGCCCTCAGTCTGTGTTGTGAGCAGGTGGAGTTCTTTCAAGCCTGGACCCACGCTCAGCCCTGTTTAGTCATTCTCAGCACTACTAAAAAAAACGTGAAGTACGTGAGGAGACTGGTTATAATTTATAGCCATTATTAACATAGTAGGTGTGTGCAGTGTTGCTTGCCTCTTCTGACCAGCGTCACTTTATACAGTTGGTGGCACCATAGCTGAGCTTTAGAGAATTTGTCATAATCTATATTAGAAATAAGCTGAGTTGAGACTTTGAGCTATCATTTCTAACATAGTGAGTTGCAATGCCGTGTCAGTGTATGACAAGTAACACAGTTTCCTTTTTCTGTAGGCACAAAGCCTGACTCCCCAGGACTACAACCTGAGGTGGTCAGGCCTTCTGGTAACAGTGGGAGAAGTCCTGGAAAAGAGCTTGCTAAACGTCAGCCGGACTGATTGGCACCTGGCTTTCACCGGCATGTCTCGCCGGCAGATGATCTACAGTGCAGCCAAGGCTGTGGCGGGCATGTATAAGCAGCGGCTGCCACCCAGGCCCATGTAAGAAAACCAGCTGCTGGGACACAGAGACCTGCCATCGTCACTGTGGACTCCGTGTCAGAGGAAACTGAATCGCTTCCGTGAATCCAACAGTTTTTTCGATTTTCCTGTAAGCTTCAGTCCTTAAAAAAATTGTTTTTTAAAAATAAAGGCACAATGTCATTCCAGTAAAACAAAAGAAATAGATCCTCTTTTTACTGTCATAATGTCATACATCCTGGTTCTCAAAAAACATACACAAATATACTTACAGCACAATTCAGTGTACCAGATTTATAAAGGGGAGATCTGAGTTCACACATTTGATGATTTGTTCTTGACTCTTCTTGTTTCTAAATATGTCATGAGGTCTGTGTGTTCACTATCTCGTGAGGGCTTGACCCTGTCATCTGTGTGCGCGCATGACCTCAGTCTTTGCTGGGATAGGGGGGCACAGTTTGATGTGTTTTACAGAATATGGGCCAAATTAACAGAATGGATTTTTTTTGTCATTATGTACATGTATAGTTTGGAAGTTATACTTGTTTCTTTTTTTGTTTTAAATTTTGGTATTTTACAGATTTGTATTATGAACGTCAGAGGATAATGTTTTTATTTTTTCATTGCTATCTAAAACCTAAAGGGCAGATCAAGTATATCGTAGATCAGAATTTTATTTGTGTTTTTTTTTTTTTTTCAATTCTGTTTATTTTGTATATTGGTGTTTGCTTGCCTGTTCAGCTGTGTACCATGTGTATACAGTGCCCAAGAAGGCCAGAAGAGGGCAGCAGAGCTCTGGAACTGGAGTCACAGACAGTTGTGAGCTGCCCTGTGGGTACTGGGAAGGAACCTGACTCCTAGAAGAGTTGTCAGTGTTCTAACCCACTGACACATTTCTCCAGCACCCCCTCCCCAAAGGTTACTTTTATATAATGGTGTTAGCACTTCCACAAGTCAGCTCTTACAACAGCTGTTCTGCATCCACTCACATCCTGCAAACTGGAAGAGGGATCTCCTTCTTTTGGGATGGTACACATTTTCTTCAACTAAAGCTACTTCGTTTTTATTGTTTGAGAATTGTATCAATGTGTTGGGATAACATTTACCTTCCCCCGCTTAACTCTTCCATCCCCACTGTGTGCTCTCGTTCCTGTCTTCTTTTTTATCCTCAGCCCACCAAGTGCCATTTGTATTGTCCAAATAGGTGTGAGGCTATGTCTAGTTGACCAACAAGAGGTGACACCCTTAAAGAAACTTGACTGTCCCTCTCTCAGAAGCCACCAACTGCCAGGCACTCCCCAGCTGTGTTCGTTAGGGGTTGGTGGATGTAAGCCCTTCCGTGCTGGGATGTTGTCTGGCTGGGATGTGTAGATTTGAGGTTATTTCTTAGTCTGCCTTAAGCACAGTCTGGCATTCCTAACTGTGCCTCTCTCATCCTTTATTTCTTAAGGATGTTTTCAATGGAATGATTTTTATATCCGATGATGCTTACGTTTTCTTCCCAGACATAACTGTATTTTGGGGATTTCCATTAAGTCAAGATTAAGTAAATTTTTTTCTTACTCCGTTGAGCTCTTTATATGCAATTCAGATAGCTTCCTGATGACGATTTAATACGTAAATGTGACTTAACTTTCTTTTCCTTGTTGATGCAGTTCTGGAGATGTTAGCATTAGAAGTCTTTTCACTCACTCTTTGCTGTCCTGAAATGTGCAGTGTGCCTACCAAGGCATACTGCTTTTCGGTAATTACATCATTGCTGCTACTTATACAGAAGAAGAAGTTTTACTTTTGAGGTGGGTATGTGCCCATCTCCAAACACTGTGTGTTGCTTGGTGAGGTAGGAAGGACACTGCTGTGGGTTATGTGGTGGTCCTGGCCCAGGGAAACCTGGCCTCAGTACTTCAGCTGGCTTCTTCATGTATAAGAAGCAGGGCCTTTCTCTACCACTTGTTTGGTGTGTTCTGGCTTTAAAAATTGTCCTTTGGGTTTGGGGATGTAACTCCGTGACAGAACACCAGTAATGTCCGGTCTTCTAGTACATGCACACGAATGTGCACATGCACGTGATGGGGATTAAAAGCTGTCCTCGTGTAACAGTATTTGATGGGGCATTGCCTAGATGTTGGTGTTTACTCCGAAGGCAGGGTTTGCAGATCCCGAAGGCACCCTGTTCTTAACTGAGTCTGTACTAGCTTAGTTACTGTTTTAGAGGTCGTCCTAGTAGACACACAGGAAGTCACTGACATTGGGTTTTCCTCAAATTGTCAAATAACAGTGGCTGACTTATGCGATGGCTTGTTTGGAACCGAATGGTTGTTGATACCTAGTCTGCCTTCTGTGTGAAGGGGAGGAAGAGTGACGGGCAGATGGAAGAGAGCTATTTGATCCACTCTGATCTATCTGGCAGTTTCCTCTGGCCCAGGATTGGAAGTTGTCAGAGCAGGGCTGACCACACAAGCTTTTCTTCCCTAACCTCTGTCATTCTCGAGTTCTGGTAAATCAAATCAGCAAATGCTGATTGTCTCTCCTGTAGCTCATACAGGAGTCTGTGTGGTGGTGTTTAGGCCCTGGCCAGCCCAACATCCTGGTTTCCTTCCCCAGCTCTTCTGTTCCATGTACTTTCCTCTTCCTACGTGTCTTTGTGTAGCATCCACACTGACAGTTTTAGAGACTTTGTGGGTGGCTGTTGCCTTTTTCAAGTCTTTCAGGAAAAATCATGTAGTAGTTTGTCACCATTGCCATGGTTGGTGGTAGTGTTTTGGGTTTTTGTTTTGTTTTTTCTGTGAAGTTTTTGGTTTTCATTTTGAGCTCCAGATTATTGGATTTTTATTTTAATTTATTTTTGTCAGTTGGAAAAGAAAACAGTAAAAATAAATTTAACATCCATCGCACAGGCTTGCTCGACTGTTTAGTTCCAAGATCCTGTTCGGGTTTTGTTGCTTGTCTTGTTTCTGCTCTGGCTTGCTTTGTTCATAATAATGTTGGACATGGAGCTGACAGCTTCATGTACTCTAGGGCAGCACTCTGCTAAGCCCGAGCCCAGCACTCCGTACTGCCACAGACTTCTGGAGTCGGAAAACTTTTAGAGGCTGGGAGTTTTCTGATTCTCTCATCGTTATTTTTTTCCTCAGTCTTTAGATAGAGGTAAGTGTGGGTTTGGTAAGAAACTAAATGAAGGCACGTAATGTACATCTATTCTGAATTATGCAAATTAGCTCTTACTCAGGGTCAACTAAATTCCTTCACCTTGCCCTTTAGTTTACTCTTGTTTGGCAAAAAGAAAAAAAAAAACTATACAGGACTGTGTGATTTGTGAGGCCGAGCTGATTTTGCCGAGCTGACAATCCAATGTAAAAGATGCTGTGTTAAACATAAATTATTAAGTGTAGATTTTTTTCCTAGGATATTGTATTCATTTTGTGATATCGCATAGAATGATGCATTGGATAAAATCAGTTTTGTAAGTATGTAAATATGTCATAAATAAATACTTTGACTTATTTCTCAAAGGTGTGCAGTGATTTAAATGTTAATTTGTATTAGCATATCAGAAAACTACATACTCTTTTTGGGGGTCTAAATTGGTTACTAACTGCCACAACGTATCAGACTTCAAGCACCTTTTTTCTGGATGTACCAGGTTCGGTCATGGTGGTAGGAGAACTCAATACAGAGGAAAGAGGACCCGTGAGATACAGGCAATCGTGGGAAGTCAGGGGCTCCTGAAGGGAACTCTGATGCCTGGCATGGCTTCTGCTTTCCATTTGGACCTGCCCTCTTCGTCTGTTAATTTGGAGTTGTTTTAGGGTCAGCAATATGAATTGGGGGAAAAAGTAGAAAGGTTTTGAATTTCACTTGGCACTACAAGTATTTATCCTTAATGGTAGCCGGCATCCACTACCAGGGTAATTCCCACAGTTCATGAAGGTCATTGACAGAGTATCATCACCCATAATTTTCATTTAGACTCATCGGGCTAAGTAAATGTGTATGATGCTTACTGCTCTGAAAATCCAATGCTTTGCATGTCTAGCCCAGGCCTCTTACCCACAGGCAACCATGAGTCTGACTGTCTTTGGAGCATATTTTGTCTTTTTTGCTGGGATGTCATAGTTGAAATATGTGACACTCTTTGGATTGGCTGCTGCTTTAAGTGACATTTATTTAAGATTGCCTACATGCATTTTCATGGTTTGGTTTTCTTACTTAATTCTGAAAAGTAATACTATTTGATTGGACCAAAGATTAACTTTCCATTTACCCAAGGGACAGCTCAGTCGCCTGAGTTTCAGTGGCTGTGAGTTGCTGTAAATATCTTCAGGTGTTGTGTGGACTGTTTTTTTAAGTCTTGTTATGGTAACAGAGTTTTATAAGAACTTTGTAACATCCTGTTAAAGTTTGGTCTTTACAGTACTTGGCAGAAGCAAATTTATGTTTTGAGTTGACCAGGTGGGGATAGAAAAGCTGGGTCAGAGACCAGTGGAGAATCTTGCCAGAAGACAAGAGGCATATAATTCCTTTTTGGGAGGCGTGGAGATCATTTTTGTTGGTTGGTTTGTTCTTGTTTTTCCAAAAGTCAAAATTGCCAATAGGCAATAACATCAGTTCAGGGTCTAGGAAAAACCATACTAAATTTATACTTAATTTCAGAGGTGGGTAGTGGGAAAAATTTTTGACAACAGAAATGAAAGGGGCAGACAAAGTATCAAGGATGTCAAAGCTATAGATGAAGGGAATGGTAAGTGAGGTTTCCAATGAGCTCATTTTAAAAATTCAGTGTTCCTGGGAAACCGGAAGCCCTGAAACTGTTAGAAGAAAACATAGCAGTGCCCATAGGACTCAGCTGTAGGACTTTCTGATTAGGACATCATTTGCCTGGGAATTGAGACTGACAGTTGACAGTGGAACCTCATAAAAGTAAAACACCACAATTAAAGAACCAATCAGTGAATGAAGCCACAGAAGGGGAGAACCTTAGCTTCGTGTTCATCTGCCGAGTAAGGGGGACAGACCTCTGTAGCAAGCAGTGTTTCCGGGTAAGCATCAGAAGGGAGCTTGAATGCCATCATGCTACTGTGACCTGATTTTCTTATTCCATTTTCATATAAAGTGACTGAAATGTACATTAAGTCTTTTTCTCACAATATGACTTACTGAGTAAACTCATTTTCCATAGTGTTCTGGAAATTTCCTTAGGAGTTGTG